CCCCCAGTGCTGCAGTGGGCCAGTGTTTGTGTTGTCAGGTTATCACGTGTGTCTGAAATATTATCCAGTGGCTTGGTCCACTCTGTTCCGTGAGTGATCAGGCCGTACCGCCGTCCTGGTACCCGTGCTGCTGTTTTTTTTTTTTTGTTTCCTTTTTTATGACCCCCGGAGACGCCGGCGGGGCGGCGCGGTGCCGGAAAGCTGGGGCCGGCCGCAGTGCTGGCAGGCTTCGTTAGCAGTTATTTATAGGTGTATTATACAGCTGCAGTGTGCCGTTCGCAGCCATTTGCATCCCCCCCACCTTTTCCCAGCTTGTTATTGTCCTTTTTTTTCGTTTATTCAAACCCATCCTGTGTCTGTGAGAACATTCCAGAGCTTGTCTAATCGCTCGATTTAGTCGTTTAGCCTCTCACTTGAAATTAAAAGCAAAAAAACAGCCAAGGCCTTGTTTATCTTCCAAATGAATCGCTGTTTTAACAACCCCCCCCCCCCCCCAATCCACCTCGTTCCTCTTTGTCCCTACGGTTCTGGTTAATTCTTTACGTTCGGCCGGTAGGATCTGGCCTTGGCATGGTGGTGTGCATCCGGCGTGTTCGCATTAGGTTTAACCCTTATTAAGCATGTTTGCTGGTGGGTGGAGCCCGCTCACAAAGCCGTGTCAGGACTGTGTGTCCGTTCCTCCTCCCTCATGTCCGGCAGCCTTTAGCCATGTCACCGCCATGGATAAGTGGCCAGCTGCTTCACGTAAACAGAAGTGAGTCCTGTCACACTAGAGGAGACCTAGAGACACGTGGTGTGACGTGTGCACATCTTTCTTACCGTCTGTGTGTGCGTGTTGGGTCTTTGAGGGGGTGGAGGAAGGGGACTGCATATTTCAGGTCCTCCTTTGTCGCTCCAAGGAGAAGGAGCTCGGTGCGGCGGTTACGCTATGCTTCCTGTCCTCCTCCCTCTGAATCCCCCCCCTTCTGTGCTGTGTGCGTGGCTTGCATGTTTTTCCCATACAAGCTGCCCCCCCCCCCCACCACACACACACACACACACACACGGGTTACAAGTCTATGTTGGTGGGAAGATGCACGGATGGGCAGCTTCTCCACATTCTGGCTTAACGTGCTGCTCCGGTTTCGGTGTAAATGGACCGGAACACTTCGCCTGTGGTCCCCATGCGCTGTAGAATAAACGTGGGCCTCTCGCCACGCATGTGGTGGGTTTTTTGCAGGAGCTCGGTTTTATTTATAAAGAGAGGCGCTCTTGCAGATTTAATGGTCGCTTTTCTTAGTTAAGGACTAACCAGCAGCCCTGAAACTCCAGGTGAGCCTGTTTACCACCTGACTTTTATACCTTCATCAGTGGTGAAGTGAAATGAAAATGGGGGCTGCTGGAGTCCCTTAGGGCTGAAGGGGGAGGGGGCTGACTGAGTTCGGCGGGTGGGGGTTATGACTGCGAGTCATTCGCTGATCCATTTTTGTGGCAAGTCGACTTACATTCTCATCTGAGAGCCAGTTTTGTTTTGGCTCGTATCACGTGTTGAGACCGGGTCACACGGCTGTTTCATGACAGCGGTACCCTTTCAGAGTCTGTGATGAATGGGGCACGATCCTCCCGCGTAAACCTCTAAACCTGTCACGGAGATGGGACGGGCAGAATATGAGACTGCAGAACACCACTAAATTACGGAGATGATCTGGCAGCATCAGCGATCCCTTTTAAGCTCCCCTGACATTTCTATAACAAGGGAGGGGATCCTGAATGCAGTCTCGGGCTTTAAACGCTGCTGTTAATCTATACGTGCTGTGGCAGATGCTACCCTTGTTGTGCTGTAGCCTCGAGCCTTGGATTGGGGTTACCGGGTGGAATCACCAGCGGTGATTCAATGTCAAGAAAGCCGCACTGTTTTGTCCAGCAGTGTTTCAGATTAAGGGTGTAGATTTGGGTATGGACAGTAGGGATGCATTACTACCAGTATTGTAGGAGTACCATTTGTGTTGAGGGAGGGCAAGAGGTTTGGGGCTGATTTGGTGTCTACCAAGATTGAATCAAAACCTACTCCCTTGTTTCAGATGCAGGGAATGTGTTGGGTACTTAAAGTGACCTTGAGGGCCCCATCTTAAGCAGAGGAATGAGATTAGGTAATGACTTGTTGATGTTGTCCTCAGAAATTAAAATAGTAAGTACAGCTAGAGGGAAGTTGATGGCCGTTGTTCTGAATGCTCCGGGTCTGTGTGTAATTTATTATATGAGATTGCTGCTGATAATAAGATTTGTTTCCATTCATCTTCATTTTGTCCTTCAGCCCCCTAAGAACACTAATGGTTCCAGCAACCACACGCGAGTCGTCAGCACTCCAGTAAAGAGCAGTTCGTCATCTTCCTCTTCTTCATCGTCGTCATCGTCGTCATCCTGCTCTTCCTCTTTGGAGAAGAGGACCCTGAAGAAGTCGGCGCTAATGGAGTCGAAGCTGGAAGACAAGCAAGAGAAGGCCAACCGGATCATCTCGGAGGCCATCGCCAAGGCCCGGGAACGGGGTGAGAAGAACATTCCACGGGTCATGAGTCCCGAGAGTTTCCCCTCCTCTTCAGGACACAAGGCGCACCGTGCCAGCAGGGCCCGGCCCAAGCAGAAGTCCATCAAGTCGGTGCGGATAGTTGCTTCTTCCAAGCCCAAACAGAAGGCGAAGATCGGGTGAGTGAATGGCCCATCTGGGGCCAGAGGAAGTGCGTGTGGTTCCGGAGCCATCCGCTCCTCGGGCTCCACCGGTCTGCCCCCAAACTTACATCGCTGGACACCGGGCAAGCTTTGAGCCGTTTGTTTATTGGGGGGACAGTTGCTCCTCAGTGAATTGAAGAGAATATTGAGTACTGCATTGTGTAGCTGCACGTCCGGGTGCCAGTAAAGTCCGAGTGGCCGTTTATGCCAAGAACAAGCTGTTTATCAGCCTCTAGTCAGGCTTTTGGAATTAATGTCATAGCCACGCTGTATGTGTAAATCCACAGTGCACCCTCATGGCTCTCAGTGCCTATCCATCAGTTGCTTCCTTCCAGGGTGCCCGATTAACAGATTTTTGAGGGGTTATTTAATTGTCTTCTTTGCTCGAGCCCTGTGGCCCCGGTCTCCCGGATCACACCAGTCGGCATGAGGTTTACGTTACTCGGATTTGTGACAATTTGCTCAGAATGTCCCTAGGAGCATCCGATAGGAACTGTGAGGTCCCTGGTTTAGAGGATCGTAAACACGTGTTGGCATGTCTGCTATGTGATTATTGTTTTCTCCAACAGCTCAAGCCTTAGGGCCCATTAATTACTGGAGCTCGGTGCGATGGAGCGAGGCTCAGGTGCTGCAGCGGTGCAGCTAGATGTCGTGAGTGCAGCTGGCTGCGTGACTGCAGCGGTAGCACGCAGGATCGCCATCACCAACTGGGAGTTGGCTCCAGACTGGCTGTAGAATGGGTGCATCAGAATGAGTGCAGCTGGGAAATACCACGTTTGGGTGATTTATTATTATTAATTAAGATAAGCCTTCAGTTTAAATTCTGACTGATCTGTCTCCCTTTTTCTGTGGTGAAAAGAAAAAGTATGACTGTTACTTCAGTAGTGCTGTTTGTTTTGTGATTTTCAGGTGTTATGCCTAGTTCTTCCCATTTGGTTCAATTTACTGAAAATGCATGAGTCTTAAGTTGCTTTTCACGTTTAGTAGTTTGCTTTGTCTTGAGAATGCAAAGAAACAAAACACAGAGAGTTTATTTAAATAAAAACTTGGTAACTTTACTGTTGTATTATTTGCGCGTTTATATTTCTTTAATAAGTGATCGGTTGCTTTGGTATGTGTGAGGTAGAGGGTCTGATACCTGACTGTAGCCTCAGTCATTAACGTTACTGCTTATTAAAATCAGCCAAGGTGTTTTTCTGGAAGGATGTTCTGAGGCATGTTGAGACAGGGAGCTGTGTTCGGCCCCCACCTGGGTCAAGCAGTGTTCAGTTCCCGCTGCTGGCAGGAAAACCATTAAACTGAACAAGTGCCCTAAGTGTAAGGTGGGGGAGCAGTGGGACACAGAATTAACAGAGTTAATGGTGTCTGTGCCGGGCACAGCCCAGCTCTCAGCGCAGTGGGCCTTCACGTCGGGGCTCCGGTTCTGCGTAGACTGCACTGAGGCCTGCAGGGTCTGCTCTGGCCCTTTGCTTCTCCCACTTACACACTGGAGTATCTAGGCCCATTGGTTTACTTCTATAATGATGTAAGGATCCCAGCGGGTCAAGGTGCATCGTAAATCAGTCATTTGATTTCAGTGACGTTTTCGCATGAGTGAAGGAGAAAAATCTTAGCACACCGGAGCGGAATCGAAGAGGACAGAACACATCAGATTGACTATTTTTCACTGTGGGATGAGTCATGTTGCTTCTGTAACTCTCTTTTAATAGATTGTGAAATTTACCCACAATCCCATGGGGTGTGTGTTAAATGCAGCCCTCCTGGGGATGGCCGGCGGTGTTATGTTTGCAGGTTCTGATCCCCTTATCAGAGTATGTGTGTGCCTTAGGGAGGTGCAGGGTGGAATGCTTCTTAAGGGGCCGTGGATTAAAGCTAAGTAATATTATATCTGCTGCCCCCTCCCCGCCACCCCCCACAGTCTGGCGATAACCCCTGCCTCACATTCCTCATCACCCTGGTGACCATTGCCGTAAGAACCAGAGGCAACCCTATCAACACTCTTATGAGAGTCGCTACAGAAAGATGAGTTTCTCTCCTGATTCAGCATTTCGTGAATAAGCCTAAAAGACATCTTCTGTGGTGGCATTCCGATGGCCCTGTTTGGTCTCTTTAGAGGGGCAGTGGGGCATCCGTGCTTCCTTCACCGGTCTATGTCGAGCCACGGTGGGTTCTGTGAGGATAGCCAAGGTTGTAAGACCCTCCCGTACATAGGCCGGATGTTTCCAGAAGAGCCATCAATCCACTGCCATCATCTCCATGTGGAAGTTGGGTGGATGGAGCATAACGGGTTGGGATTATCCAGCACGATTTGACCCTACATGAGTGGTGGAAACACAGCAGGCCCTACAGTCAGAGTTGGTTAGGCCCCCCCTCCAAAACCAGCCCGACACCATTGAGTCCGTCGTTTCACTTTGACCAGCCTGAACTGCTGCGTTGGCTGACCGGGACCAGAGGAAAAACTCACTGCAGTCTATTACTTTAGCGTGTATATTGACGGTTTCTCAGTGCTTTGTTCCAAACTGGTCCGGGCCGGTTCTGACCCTCAGAGCCCACGGGGAGTGCTGGTTTTCATTTGATCTCATTGTCCCTGAGCTTACACATGGAACCCGTCTCTCATTACGGGATATAAGGTTACTTATCAACTTATAGATTTTTGTCCTTCATTTAAATTATTAAAAGTTCTTCCCTAATTCCTAGTTAAGGTGGCCGGCCTGTTGTACAGCGGAGCGCTGGTCTGTACAGTCGGCCAGAATACACTGTGGTGACTTATTAACCGCGACCAGTGGCTGTCTCCTAGTAACCCACCTGGCCTGCTTTCTGGCCGCGCTCTCACTGACATTGTGAGCTTTGTTTGGGCCTCATTGTTCTCCGGCTGAGTCGTCCTGTTTCGCCATTTCAGGTGTAAGCCTATCAGGAAGGGAATGGTCGGCCATCTGATCTATAGGATCATGGATCTCGAAGACTTTCATTGGCTGGCTCTTTGCTTAAAGGCATTTCCCTTAAGCACCCTGATCAGGACTCTCGCCCTCCCTGTAGCACCTGTGGCTGCTTTGTATCCTCAAGCATGACCCCCGGGGGGGAGAGGGGACAGCAGTCCGTACACCTAAGGCACGCCCGTCTGCCAGTGCAGCATCGCGGGGCCCTCTGTGTGGCTGGCTGACATACTCGCTTGCGGTGCTGTTAATGTAATCCTGTGCCCAGGGATTAGTCAGGCAGAGCTCCGGTTTTCCGTAAAATCCGGAACTTCAACCTCCGTAACCGTATCATGGGAATTCTCTACATGTGCCTAACACGTTCCTCACAACTAACATTTTGTTATAAAAAAAGGCGATATACATGACAGCTTTCCTTTTATAAGACAGTGTTGGTTGACGGAGGCAGCAGAGGACGCGTTCTTGCCCTTCCATGTCAGTCCAGTTCCAAACTCCAATTCCGGGTATTACCAAGAACCAGGGCAGCACTGTGCGGCCCAGCCGGGCATTTTGGAAGCCCTTTTGTGTAGTAACCTGCCAGTTGTGTTTCCGCCGAGAGACAGCACAACATTAAGCTGAGGTTTTCGGTTGAGGGCTTATTACATCTGAGGGGCCAAACCCAGGATCTTCCTCGCGGTGTGGGGCTGGCTGGTTGGGGGTAGCGCGGCCCGGCTCTCGGCCCATGCAGAATGCTGGGCCTCGAGCCAACTAGGCCAAGCCACGTGCTGCAGTGGTGGGTCGGAGATCAGGCCGGATCTTTGCATGGAATCCAGACAGTGGGGAGGAGCCAGCGGCTCTGAGGCCACGAGGGAGCAGCCCCCCCCGTCGGCGGTGACTCCCACTGTGATCTGCAGGATTATGTAGGGCCCCCAGACAAGAGAGTTAAATGGCAAGGGTATATGAGGCTAGCTAAATGGCAAGGGTATATGAGGCTAGCTAAATGGCAAGGGTATATGAGGCTAGCTAAATGGCAAGGTATAAGAGGAACAAGTCAGACGCTGGAAATGTCCCTCTTCTTTTGCCATAAGAGCAGAGCAGGTCAGAGCACATTCCCAGGCTCAGACAGGACTTGGATCATAGGAATGTCAGTGAATTGAGTCTCCTCATTGCATTGTAGACAGAAGCTTAGTTTTATGTAGTGGGACTCGTGTGCAAATTTCATATTCTTTTTGGGAGCAATGGAGCTGAAAGTTCCTTCCAAATGCCCCTCATGCTGGGTCGCTCCTGGGTGCTGTGGGGGGGTCTTGGAAGGGCTCCCATAGGTAGCCTGACTTGACCCGGTTACCCAGAGCTAACCTGTGCTGGAGCAGCATTGACTCAGCATAATCGGCTCAGGCTTCCTGTCATTTCTTCGGCCAGCGCAAGACATCCACAAGCTTTATGACGTATTTCGCGAAAACAAAATGCAAATTTACATTGCGTGTTGGCCGTTCCTTTTTCTAATGCATGAATTCAATATAATTTCTTTGCTCACACGTGAATTTAGTGTGACTTTTCACGTTTTCATGAATTTATGAGAGTTAATGTTTTAAATGAGGGTTTTTTTTCTCTTCTCCTCTATAGTGTCCAACACCGGAGTGCTTATGGGACTTTAATGGCCAGCAATAAGGACACATCATTATCTTCTGTCCTACCTGGTTTCTGGACTACATTATGATAAAAAAAAAAAAAACAATTTAAAAATCCTTTCTCGTAAAACCCATTTTGCTGCTATGAATACTCTGTCAGACATTTTATTTATTTATTTTGGGAAACTCCACAATCCGTTTCTGAGCAGCTAGTGTACTGGGGACAGCCTGTCTCCAGCACGGCATGCTGTCAGAGAAACGTCGCTGTCGGCCGTTGAAAGTGTCTGTCTGCGACAAGTCGGGGGGGGTGGGGGGGGGAGTATTTTCTCCTTTTTTTAAGGCGTAAATGATTTTGCCTGTAGCTCATCTCCAGAACTGGAACGCTTTCATTTCAAGTCACGACTTGACAGCCTTGCCCTCATCTGCCAACCTGTTACTGCGCAGTGAACAACATGACAACGAAGCCAGTTGTGGAAAAAGAAGGGGATTCGTGGGTTAAGATGCCGTCAGGCGTAACCATTTCAGAGCAGATCGTGTGTGTGTTTGTACACTTTTGCTTTAGAAGCAGTGGGAGCTGAGATTTCTCGGTAGTTTGTGCCTCACTGACGTGTATCTTGTGTCGTGTATTTATTCTCCATTCTCGTTATGCCCTAATTGTTAGTTGTCTATTGTCATGCTGTTTTCGGTAGCAAACTATGCCAACAAAAAATTCCAACAGCCCTGGTCATGTGGCAGGAAAGATTCTGATTCTGATCCTGGGAGGATATTAGCTTAAGATGTTGGCTTTGTGGCATTTCTGTACCGGCTCATGCGTTGCATACGGTCGCTGGGCACTGCACCCTCTGAGGCTGTGTGCGGAGTGACGAGTGTCACGGCGAACGTGACCGACAGCACGAACGCAGTGAGCAGATAGGACACACTGAGGAACGGCTCGTCGGTCACGTGGTAAACAGATGAGAGTGGGCTTCGCGACTGCTGCGCTCCGTCATTCTGTCCCATCGCGGGGTGGCCATAGGAGGCATCAGCTCCCAGGATGCACTGCAGCAGACGTGTCTGTCCATCTCCATGGGCTGCCGTCGCCTGGGGCATCTCAGGCAGCCATGAGGGAGGGGAGATCAGCCAAAAAGTGTCCCGGCAGAGCTGCCTCCATAACTAGAGGTGCCCTGAGTGTGGCCTGTCATCAACTCTGCAATGACAGTCATGGATCTGCTGTGTGTGTGTGTGTGTGTGTGTGTGTGTGTGTGCGCACGCACGCCACAGAGGGTGGGGGTTCCTGTAGATCGCTCGCACGGGTTCTGCGATCTGTCTGACACTGTTTCAGATTTATTTATACGGAGGAATTTCTGCCAGATTCTCTGAGAGGCGCCATTGTCTGAGGACGGCGTGTTCATCCGCCATCTTTTCGTCCGTATCCAGCAGCTCCCATGACATTATCGTGATCAGCACCGCCACTGGTAAATGAGCAGTCTGCGGCAGCGCCGAACGCACGGCTTCATGGGAGTTCCCAGCATTCCTCCCGTTGTGCACAGTGTGTAAACAGTCTGCCTGACGTGTACCATTATGGGCCAGGGAGCTTCAAAGGGAGACCTCTGGGGCTTTGTGAGCGGTTAGAGCACAGACATGCCAAACACATGCGGCCGGCGTATGCCAGCCGTCTCCGGGCCTCCAGATCATCAGGCCCTCATGCACGAACCCCCCCCAGGTCCTCAGAGCTTTCTAGGAACTGTCTGGTGAGGGAAGCAGAGAAGCCCTTCCTGCCTGCATAGGCGTCGCGGACAGGAGGGGATTCAGCCATCCGGAACATTCTGTAGCGTCTGCAGCTCCACGCTGAGCCCACCCACCCCGGTGGTGCCTGTCTGCCCCACAGTTTCCCCTGGCCTTGTTCGTTCAGCTTTTCCACGTCAGGCCAAATTCTCACCAGGCAGCTGCGTGTGCACTGGTCCCAGTGCTGAAGGGGACCCGGGTTGGGTTGCAGGAAGAGGAAACGAGGGGAACCATGGCCTTCGGCCGTCCCCCGGTGAAGGGCTCCAATCCCCTCGAAAATATAAATTCCCCCCCCCGCTGTGATGTCCAAATGCGCTCCATACAAATGAGACAAAGCTGGGTTTTTATTGGCTCCTTTAGCGGAGGACTGTAAACCCCCTGTGAGGGTGTCCTCACTGTGCCTCAGCTCTGTCAGGGGTGGGCAGGGTGATGTCACTCAGGGGGCGTGGCCACCACTTAATGGGAAGGACATGTGTGAGAGAGGTACAGACAGAGAGAGCTTTCCTTGTCTAAGCATGCTTCATACAGAAGCCAGGAGGAGACCTTCCGGAGTCCTGGCTCCAGGCCACATTCTCCTTTCCTCTCTCTTACCTCTCCACCTTCCACCATCCTCCTCGTCACTGCATCAGGTGATCGCGTGACACCAGACCTCCAGCACCCTGCCAGTGTCGGTATTGAGCGTGGTTGGCTTTAATCGTCCTCCTCAGTGACCCCGTCCCTCACAGACGACTCACCCGCTAATGAGCCGATAATTAAGATGGGCGCTCATTTAAGTTCACTAAGAATAATGACCGCTTGCAGTCACTTTACAGGTTTTCGGGGAACTGCACTCAGCATTTTTAACGCATTGCTCTTCCTGCTTTTTTTTGTATCATTTTCCTTATTTAATAATTCTGGGTGTATGAGAATTTGGATACTTGCGACAGTTCGAGCTTTGGGGTAGACGGGGAGGCTGATCTCATTAGCACACGATAAATGCAGGTCGCGTCCTCGCGCAGTTCGTGAAATGCAGTTTTGTTTTTTTTTGCCGATCCATCCTTGTACGTGGCGTCAGTCTGATCCGCCGTGGTATCCTCCATCTTATTGATCACCACCTCTGATGCTGGCAGACACGCGGGGAGCAGCGGGATTCTTGCCTCTGATCTTAGACCCTTAAAGCGATTAGTTCTTGTTTGATGAATCTGTAAGGCTGCCGTTTTTTGCCCCCCCCCCCCACTCCACTGGAAAGGAACAGCTGTGTGTAGGCTGGTGTGTAAGAAGCCACTCGGTGTACCCCACACAGTCTTCATCTGGCACATCTGTCCCTTCCGAATCTTTGACGACACCTCCGTGAATTAAAAAAAAAAAAATTGTCTCCCTGATTCACTGATTTCCCAATGCAGCATGGCTTCCATCCTGGAAAACGAACTCTGTGGATCCAGGTCTGAATCTAAGCATAGGCAAAGTGGGCAGCGCCTAGGGCCCGATCATTCGGAACAGTGCCCAGATCAGCAAAAGCGGGCGCCAGTGAGGTTTCAAGATTGAGAAAACTGTTGTCTATCACCAATAATGATAGACACAAACATAAAACGCATACAGTAATGCAATGATGCAGTATTCATACAAGAATATATTAAAGCACAGACACTTCCACGAGAAAATAATAATCTGCTGAGTGAGAATCCCTCCAATCCGGCAAAATCTACCAAGACACTCCCTCACCCCATGGTCAGCAAAAATCTGTTAAAGGGGACACCCCCCCCCCCCCCCCCCAAAAAAAAAAAAATGTATTTCTGGCTATGGACTTGCCTAGATCCCCTGAAATGACCCTGTGTGGGTTCCCTTCATATGAATTTCCTCTGTTTTTTTTCCTTCGACCTTTTTCCTTTGTAGTTTTTTTCCCCCCGCTCCTCCCATGAGCCTAATGGCTTTCCCTGAAAACTCTTTTCCAGGAAAATAGTCATCAAGTTCGGGAAGAAGAAAAAACGGAAGAATGAGTCTTCTGAGGACTTGTCTGAGGATGAGCACCCCCCGCGGCGGTCAACTAAGGAGGACGACTCGGTGAGACATCTGACTTCTGTGCTGGCCAGTCTGTTATAGGGAGCTGAGCCTGTGTCCGGGGGGTTGTGGGTTTGAATCCAGTGTACCAGCGGGGTAATTGCATCACTGCTGGGCCTTTAATTATCCCTAAGCGCTCCATCGGCACTGGATGCAGGGCTTCTGCTCACTGACCCCAAGATTTCCTCCCTCATTCGCCACTTCGGACCAAAGCGTCCTCTGAATAATGTAAATGTGAACGTGTCCCTGTGCCATTTCCAAGCAGTGACCCCAGGCCCATCTGGCTGTGGCACTGCAGTGCCGAAAGAGTAAGGAGGAACCTGTCAGGTACCTGAGGAACAGAAATGTAGTTGCTTGGCTGAGGAGGGGGCTCCCTCCAGGCTCGCACTCCCGCAGTTCCAGTAGAGTCACGTCTCTGGCTTAATTAGTATTTCTGTTGATGACTCATTTTGGGTGATTGGTCAGTTGTGAGTTGTGAGTGGGGGCAGGTGGATTGGTTTGACAGGCTGGCTCTGCTCTTGCACTAAACAATCATGAAGGAGCTCTGTGCCCACCCCACCCCCCACATACCTGTGGAGATCTGCTGGCGTGCAGCTCATCCTGTGTAAGGTTCATGTGGTTGTGTAAATTTGAGCAACCAATGGGCTCGCACAGCACCGTCACAGGTCACATGACAGTCAACGAATACATGAAAAGTTTATTCAAGTAGGATAAATCTCCCAAGCCCCCAGCTAAGCCAGTTATCGAGGTGAATAACGTGCTGCCCTTGGTTCCCTCAGAAGAGAAGATCGAACCGGCAGGTGAAGAGGAAGAAGTACGCTGAGGATGGAGAGTCGAGGCTGTCGGACGAGGAGGTAAAGATGATCGTCAAAGCGAAGAAGACATCCAGCGCTGGCCCGAAGGAGCCGGCCGTGCAGCTCTTCGTGGTGAGTATTGCACACTGGAGGCCAGGTAGTCGGGCAGCTCTGCTACGCCAGGCCTCACTGACCAAGCTGCAGCAAGTAGTGCAGTTATTAAAGGGTCAGACATCTGTAGTAACAGTCATCTAATACCTTGGATGTCACAAGTTCTTTCATGCAGCTTGCAGACAGCGGTGTCATTGCGTCTCAAGCGTCAAACTATACTTTTGGCTGATATTAGGCGTATCCTTGAGGGGGGGGTGTGTTAATTTAAACTGTCAGATTTTGCTGAGATATTTAAAATTTCCAGAAACATGAGAAACGCACTTTGCTTTTGTTGGTAATGAAATGCAGGTGTGTTGATTTGATTGGTTTTCCCTTCCCTGCAAGATCTTGATAAAAGCTTTTCAGGCCTGGCGTGCACTCTTCCTCAGACCCCCACCGCCTCCCCCCAACATCACTCGTCACTCCTCCAGGATGTACCAAAGGTCCGTTCTCCCCACTTCAGTCCCATCTCTGTTCCCGCAGGAGAACCCCAGCGAGGAGGATGCCGCGGTTGTCGATAAGATAATGTCGTCGCGCGTGGGGAAGAGAGAGGTACCGCGCCGGCTGTCTCCGAGGCCATCGCTCACACAGAAGGCCCGAGCCGCTCGCCACTCCCGTTGTCATGGTAACGCTCCGCCCTTTTCCTCCAGGTGTCTCCCGGAGTCGTGGTCGAGCTTGAGGAGTACTTTGTAAAGTACAAAAACTAGTAAGTCTTCTCCAAGTACGCATGTTAACACTGGCCGTCTCCAGCAGTCGGGTTCAGTAGCCATTGGGAACAGATCGTTTGCACCCGGTGCTGTTTAGGTCATGCTTGGCTCACACACGTTTTTACTCACAGGTGAGGAATCTCCTGTATGCCACATATGTCATTGCCCTTTGGCATACTTTTATGGTTTGCTCCTCTTTTAGACCTATTAGACAATGTTTCTTCCAGCCAATACCCAAAGAGGTCATTCCAGATTTTTTTTAACAAAGACTAATGTAAAGCACCTTATTTAAAATCTTATAACTGTCAGGTAATCTCTTTATTGCCGTCCATGTGTGTTACGTTTTTGCCTTTTTAGGTTACTATATATTTATGTGATATATAGCCAAGCTTTTGCCATGAATATAGCAATAGCTGCTCGTATGGAGTGAACAGCCAATTAACAGACTAGCTGTTGCTGTCTTGTGGTTAGCATGCGGTAAGGGGGCATCTCTGGGTGTGGGGAGCGGCCGGTCTGTGCTTGCCTCTCCCGCGTGTTAAAATTCCTTCCATTAAAGACATAAATGTATCTTGTGTGTGTGCCACTTTCACTGAACTGGTGTTGAAATCCGGGGTGATATGGGGGAGAGGGATATCGCTCTGGGAGCTGCACATGCAATGCCATTGTTCTCCAGATAAATCATAAATGGATCCATAAGAATGCACCGCACTGGATTCGTGCACAGGCTTGGTCTCGTAGCAGAGTAATTAAATGAGTGACTGAGGTAGCGTGAGGCTGAGATCTTCCATGTGTCGGGGGCTGGAGCTGCGTCATGCGTGCCTGTGCCCCCCCCAGCTCCTATCTGCACTGCGAGTGGGCCACAGAGCAACAGCTGGTGAAGGACAAGCGCATCCAGCAGAAGATCAAGCGTTTCAAGATAAAGCAGGCCCAGAGGGCTCACTTCTTCGCTGACGTAAGAGCGTCCATCCTCACTCGCACGGCTTTGTGTGTGTGTGTGTGTGTGCGTGTGCGAGGGCTCACTTCTTCGCTGACGTAAGAGCGTCCATCCTCACTCGCACGGCTTTGTGTGTGTGTGTGTGTGTGCGTGTGCGTGAAGGAGTGCGAGTGTCACTAGTGATTATTCTTCATCGTTAAGTTAACGGCAGAAGAAACTAGAATTTCTCCTGGCCTCATTTTTTGCTCTGGGTTTGGAATTAATCAGTGCTGGCTTCGGGTTTATTAATTACAAAGATGTTATAGTGAGATTGTGTGTGTGTGTGTGTGAGTGTGTGAGTGTGTGTGTGCCAGCATGTACAGCAGAGAGCCCCCCACCCCCCTCCACCCCTCTGTTTTAACTGTGAGTCCCCATGGTGACCAAGAGCAGAATGACTCAGCTTACCCTCCCACCCCCCCGTTTTATAGATGGACGAGGAGCCTTTTAACCCTGACTATGTTGAGGTGGACAGGGTGCTGGAGGTGTCATACTGCGAAGACAAGGACACTGGAGAGGTAGTCTGTCTGCTCGCTCCCACTGCCAGACGAGTGACATGTGACCGCTCTGTCCATGCCGCGTTTCCGGTCGATACCGGCCTGTGTCCGGGTTCCGGACCGCGCCCCCCCCCGTGGCTCCTCCACACTAACTGCCCGCCCCTCCCCCCCCGCCTTCCAGCCTGTGGTATACTACCTGGTGAAGTGGTGTTCCCTACCTTACGAGGACAGCACCTGGGAGCTGAAGGAGGATGTGGACCAGAGCAAGATCGAGGAGTTCGAGCAGCTGCAGGCGGCGCGGCCCGATCCCCGCAGGGTGGTGAGTGGACAAGCCCCCCCCCCCCCCGCCGAAGCTGAGAGGGAGGGAGTAGGGGCATAGCTGGAAATTCTGGGACCCTATAATGTCACTCTATATATCATTTCATAATTTTAATATAAATCCCTGTAAAGTACTGGGCCCCCTGAATCTGCCAGGGTGTCCTTGCCCCTGGGATGGAGGATGTGAGGATGCAGAAGCCTCATTGCCGTGGACGGCCGGTGATATCACAGCCCAAATGGGCTCCTGTGGGATTCAGGAACGTTTTGTAGCGCGTACCGTAATGCACACGGCACAGCAGAGCTTCCCCATATCAGACCTTGGGTTTACGGGAAATCTGCTTCCGTGCAGTTTTTTTTTTCTCTTTATCCCCCCTCTTCTGACCTATTTAAAGGTAGAACATAGCACGCCGGCTATTTGCCTTGTACAGTAGTCTCTAAAAATACCTGCCAGCGTTTTGTACATTTGCATCGCTCATGTAGGGTATGGCGCTATTGACTGCTTAACCCCATTAACCAGCAGAGGTGCAAATTACGAAAGGAAATGAAATGTAATTTAAGGAAATGATGGGTTTGCATAATTCGGTTTAAATACCCTGTGCTGTATGCAAAATAACAGAATAAGCAAGAAATGCTAAAACCCATCATAGTTATTCATTATTGCAGCCATCCAGGGCAGTGCCGGGTCATGGCAAGAACATCCCAGCAATTACAGGGCATGGAGCAGGGACTCCGGTCCATACGTATCCACTACAGGGTAGTTACAGATTTTGAACTGTGTGAGAGAACATGCAAGAACACAGGGAGAACATGTAGACTTCTTCATGCGGAAAGGCGGCGGGTTTGGAGAGCGACAGTGACGTGAAAACGAAGACACGCTTATTTACTGTTCATGCGGTGTCCATTATGATTTAAGATATGTTCTAATTTCTGCTAGCACACCATGTTATATTAGCATGAAACGCTAGCAGAATTAGCATTTGTTCGTGTAAATTTGCATTATGGATCCATTCCATTCAGCCATTGTCTAGTACTTTTTAAGTGGGAGGTTTGAAATTTCATTTATTTATTTGAAGGTTCTGAGTTATTAGGAATGCATCAATAAATCGTGATATACTGTATCACTAATGATGAATAATATATAGAATATACCCTTTATTCCTTCAGATAATCCATGCATTTCGACATAGACCATTGGTATCTCGGTGCATTTCGACAAATCCGATGGTGGTGACGCAACCAGCTTGGTTTAGTCGTGCTTTCGGCACTGCTAGTAATCAGTCTACCAGCCCAGCGATTAGAGCCGGAAACCTTCTGATCACGGCTACAGAGTAATAACTCACTGAACCATTCAGCGATTGTTGCTACAGTTTTACAGAGATAGGTATTAAAAATGTGTTTTTATGTGTTTTGGGCCCAGCCGATCTCATCTGCTGCTAACAGACGTTCATTTTTAACACCCTGTCCCTCTCGTTATGCTGTTAAGTCTGAGGATTCGCCACACGGGGGATGCAGAGACAATTTAACGTGTTCCGGATGCGGTAGATGCGCACTGGCTTCTAAAGAGCTTCTCCATGTCTCTCTATCCTTGGCAGGAGCGGCCTCCGGCCAGTCACTGGAAGAAGAGGGAACAATCCCGGGAATACCGCAGCAGCAACCGCCTCAGGGATTACCAGCTGGAGGGCGTCAACTGGCTCCTGTTCAACTGGTACAACAGGTGGGTCGCAGGCACTGCGCGGTGGCGGTCTGGGCCTGACTGCGCCGCCGGCTTTAAATGGCACGGCGGGCCAGGGGCGACGGGCGGGCGCAGGAGGGCATGGAGGTGCCGATCCGGCCCGCCGTTCCCATGGAGAAAGCCATCTGGCATGTGCCAGACCTGCCTGTTACGGGCTGAGCTCCGCTGGCTTCACTGTCGCGCTCGGTCATGCCTGACGTCCAGTGGGATGGAATTAATTAACAGGAATGCAATCGCACTTTCATCTGTTGGGACTTACATGTGCGTGTGTGTGCATGTGTGTGTGTGTGCGTGTGTGTTTTTGTGAGGTCTAGGTGGTCTGCTGTAAAATAGTAATTTATTCCCTACAGGAAAACCAAGCCAGGGAAACTCAGAGAGCCCACTGTTATATACAGTATTCAGTCTTCGGCAGTCAAAGAAAATGTTTAAGGCCATTTATCTGGATAGTAAATGTGCATTTGCCCAGGAGAAAAAAAAAAGCATTAGAACACATGCAGACTAAAGCTAACACAGTGAAACTTGACAAGAATTTCTTCTGCTGATTTCTTGTTGGATGGCAAGATGAACACTGCTTGGGCTCCCAAACCTCTCCTCGGGCACCTCAGCTGTTCCATATATTTGTTAAATTTCACACTCAGTTCACTTAATTAATTATTTAAATTAATTAAAATAATCGAGGAGTTCTGTATTAGCCCCACAAGGTGGGGTAGTGGTTGAATCAACAAATCTATTGGATGTTTGCTACAAATACTGGGGTGACTATAGGGTAGGTTTTGAATTGGCTAAGTTGACACACTTTGACAGATATAATATCATAGTTTTAAACATATCTTTCACTGGCTAACACTCTTACACAGCACTGTATATTATATGATTTATCAGTATTGATTCATTTTAGTGGTTTTACACTAACATTCTGCATCCAGAATGTGTGTGTGTGTGTGTGTTTGTGTGTGTGTGTGTCTCTGCTCTCCCTGACAATAATTTATCCCCAGTGTGTGGGAACACAAACCCATCTGGCTGTAAAATCCTGATTTTCTCTGCCTGAGTCCCTCTGCTGTCAGAATAGACGTCCTGGCTGCAAGTGAAGGATCGAGGTTGTCTAAGAAAAATTGATTATCCCCCCCGGCTTGTAGACGGAACTGCATCCTGGCTGACGAGATGGGCCTGGGCAAGACCATCCAGTCCATCACGTTTCTGGAGGAGATATACCGCACGGGCATCCGGGGTCCCTTCCTCATCATCGCCCCCCTCTCCACCATCGCCAACTGGGAGCGCGAGTTCCGCACGTGGACGCACCTAAACATCATCGTGTATCACGGCAGCATGGTCAGCCGGCAGATGCTGCAGCAGTACGAGATGTACTTCAGGGACTCGCAGGTCAGCTGACTGTCGTCTTCATAACCGCCAACACTGATGCAAACACATCCCGAAGTGCTGTCAGATTGGGCTCCTTCACCGGCAACATTGTTCTCTAGCTTTGAAGGCTGTAATTTAGCGAGTGTAATTATGCAGGCTGGTCAAATGTTTTATGGGCAAGGATTTAATAATATTTACTGGTGTCATGGGTGGTTGGTGGTCTGCTTCTAAGGCAGATATCCTGTTTGTGACCAAATATGGGAATGGGTGATCCGAATGCTGGGAGATTCCCATTTTTTGGGGGGGGTGGGGATTTTGAAAGGGGAACAGGAAAGTGTGGGGAGGAGTTAGGAATGGCTGTCATGGAAAGTGTGGGGAGGAGTTAGGACTGGCTGTCATGGAAAGTGTGGGGAGGAGTTAGGAATGGCTGTCATGGAAAGTGTGCCTTCTTGAGAGGAGAAAATTGATGTCCCTGAACACCACCACCACCACAGTGCTGTTTTTCTGTGCATGAGTAGCCAGGTCAGCTAAAGCCTGGTTCCTCACCGAAGTTTGGCTCTGGTGTTTAGCACCTCAGATGGTATCATTTGTCTAAATTGATTCAGGAAGTCTGAGACCACAGCCAGCCACACAATTTTATTTAATTATTCCATACCAATCTAGAAGGTCTTCATCTGGAATAGGCTCTGTGACCAACATGGTCAGGCATTACTTTTCAGCCCGCTCGGTTGTTCTGGTTCCTGCTTGGGCCCTGATCCCATTGGCGGTCTTCTTGCCATAGGGTCGAGTGATCCGAGGGGCCTACAGGTTCCAGGCGATTATCACCACCTTCGAGATGATCCTGGGCGGCTGCCCAGAGCTCAACGCCGTGGAGTGGCGCTGTGTCATCATCGATGAAGCCCACCGCCTCAAAAACAAGAACTGCAAGCTGCTAGAGGGCTTCAAGCTCATGAATCTGGTGGGTGTGCTGAGGAGCTCAGCAGGCAGGGGAAGACCACGGGGCTCTGTCTGAGTGGCTGTGCTTCCCTTTACCCATAATTCCTGGGCCAAACTTTTGGATTCAGTATCTGTAGATGTGGGATCGAAGCTCAAACCTTCAGAGTAACCAGTGGGATGTGGGTGAAACACTCATTGACCGAGAAGTTCTCCAGATTTGAAACCTTGAAGCTACAGTCGTGCATTTAGTCTTTCATAACAGCCTCATTCACTGCCAGGGAGTGGGCCACAGCTGGTCTCTGATTCGTCACTGCCTTCTCTTGGCTTGAGTCATGTGACAGATGAGGGCACATCAGCTGACCCAGAAGCTGCCGGCCTTGGGGTTTTTGTGTGGGGGTTACGTCGTGCCCCGGTCTTCCTGCGATTGATAGAACTTAATTGTCTTGCCGGCTGCGTTGCAGGAGCACAAGGTCCTCCTGACAGGCACGCCTCTCCAAAACACGGTGGAGGAGCTCTTCAGCCTGCTGCACTTCCTGGAGCCCTCACGCTTCCCCTCAGAGAGCACCTTCATGCAGGAGTTTGGGGATCTGAAGACGGAGGAGCAGGTAGGAGCAGTGTGGGGCTTCCAGCACCCCCTAGCTGTCAGTGTCTGCGAAGCGCAGGAACTGATTTCCTTTCCATCCTCCTCAATGCAGTTTCTTGGATGCTGTGAAGTATCTGAGTTAATTAATCTTGAGGTTTAGGAAGGCTGTGATAGCACAGACTATCGCATATTAATTTGGACTATTATGTGATTAAACCAATTTTGTGATATATGGGAAATCCTTTGAAGGGAATTATAATCCTGTACTTATGTAGTTGCAAAAGCACCCTGCCGGAGCCTGTTGTCAGACAGCAGGTACCTGATTCTCTATGCAGGTCCAGAAGCTACAGGCCATCCTGAAGCCAATGATGCTGCGGAGATTGAAGGAGGATGTGGAGAAGAAGCTGGCGCCCAAGGAGGAGACCATCATCGAGGTGGAACTCACCAACATCCAGAAGAAGTACTACCGCGCCATCCTGGAGAAGAACTTCTCCTTCCTGGCCAAAGGTGCTGGCCAGGCCAACGTGCCCAACCTGGTTAACACCATGATGGAGCTGCGCAAGTGCTGTAACCACCCTTACCTCATCACAGGTACTGAACACCGCTGAACATTGCTATAAAAACCTATATGCCATTGTGGGTGCTGAACATCACACAGCACGACTATAAAACCCAACTCCATTGCAGGTACTGAACACCACTGTGCATTAACATAAAAATCTGTAGGTGCCTAAGAGGCCATTATTCTAACAACCTCATTACTGGGGCTGAACACTATTAAGTAAAGCTTCTGTATTTGTCTGTGATCTCATCACAGCTATTTAAATTTAATAAGTCACTACACTAAGTGCCATCATATATAAAGTCATCAGAGCTTTAGTTCAGCTGAATTTTTTTATTGGTTGACGGTCTCTGTCACACACACACACAGGTTTGTAATTGTATCTTTGTGGGAACTCTACATTCATTTCTATGGGGGAAAACTCTATGGGGGAAAACACTAACCTTAACCATAAGTAACCAAACGAAGTACGAGACTTTTAGCAGTCACAATGTCAAAATAACAGGTTTTTATTACATTATGGGTGACTTTTGGTCCCCACAGTGTAATATAAACACAATCCACATACACGCACATCCAAAGATTAGTCTGATTGTTGTCATATTGTTGAAAAGATCAGAACATACCAAAGCACGATTTCATCTATTTTATAATGATGATCTTACACTACAACAGGAAATACAGTGAGCATTTAAAAATAGGTGTTACACATATCTAAACCATGGTTTTGTAAGTTCTTTTGTGCTGCTGTGGCACCATTGCAAAAAACTGTGGACACAGTTTGCATTGCACAGGAAATGAGAGCCACCCCCCCTTTACAGAACTGCTGTGTGACACCCCACTGGGCCTGGGTCAGAGCTGACGACACACAAACTGTGATCCTGGGTTGTTGGGTAGATTTATGCTGCATTCCATTTATCTTGAAAGTCCAAGCTGGGAATGACATCACACCCAAATTAACCGCGTTCCAGTACAACAAATTGGAAAGCCGTTTAGCAATACCAGTTCTAGCCAGGTTTGTTGTTAGCTATTGTTTGCAATACCAGTTTTTAACAATGCATTACGCAGTATTTTGCAGACACAAACACCGTAGCAGCATATCCACAAATAGCGGTTGGGCCGTACTTTCTGTATGACCGATATAATTAAACGCAAATGAGACGTAAGTGCTAATAAACGCTACATAACTACATCTGTCACTTCTGTTGATGAAGGGTGCAGCCATCTTGAATTCTGAGGGTGAGGTTGAAGAGGTTCCTCTGACTTTCGGAACGTCAGGGGGTGTTCTTGAAATTTTCAATTAGGAACTCAAAAATTCCAAATTCCATGTTCAAATGGAACACACCATTAGAGAGTACAGGTGCACACTCGTGGGTTCAAAGATTCAGATAAGGACAGTCTTATCTGTCAGGGGTGACATTAGAACCCCATCTGTGGTGACAGGGATCGGAGGGGTTGGAGTAGCTGTCTCATGGTGTGTCCTGCTCTCTGGATCACCAAACTGCATCTACATCTCATATTTATGCATTATTATATGCTTTATTGCTATAATCTGACTCCATGCCTCCAGAAAGTTCAATCTTTGATTTGTGAGCTTCATGAATTTGCCAACACAGTGGAAGGGCATCACCGGAGGACCAGTATTATTCTGTGAAAGTGGTAACGCAAGGTTGAAGGTCATGAAGCATTTCTGTAGACTTCTGTAGATTGCAGAGATACTGTTGACCCAACATGGTCTGATCTCCTCAGGGGCTGAGGAGAAGATCCTGGAAGACTTCCGGGAGGTTTATAGCCCCGGTGCCATGGACTTCCACCTGCAGGCTATGATCCAGTCGGCCGGCAAGCTGGTCCTAATCGACAAGCTGCTGCCCAAGATGAAAGCTGGGGGCCACAAGGTGCTCATCTTCTCCCAGATGGTGCGCTGCCTGGACATCCTGGAGGACTACCTCATTCAGAGAAGGTAATGGCTCGTCCTGCAGCCCCGTTCCCTCTAGGGCATACTCAGCATCTCCATAAATCCTCCATCCTGGATGGCTACCTGGTCCAGAGAAGGTACCAGCTCTCCAGCCAGCCTGGGCCCCCAGGGCGCACTCAGTATCCCTGTATCCCATGGGGCCATGAGACAGTCAGCACATCTTCAGATCCTGCCAGAACAATGAGTCGACATCGATTATACACACACACACACACACACACCATTCTGTTATCTGCTGTTCAGTTTTATAGTTGCGTTTCTAAAAAAAGTGATGCAAGGCTTCAAGTAACAATAGCGCTGTTGCACAATATACACAATAATGAAAGTATAATGTAAAACAGTTTAAATTTCCTTTTTTTGTTTCCTGTGAATGAAGATATTGCATCTGCAATTGCCGAAAGGGTGAATTGCGAGGAGACATTATGTATTGAGAGTTTTTCCAAACTAAATTTGGTTGTTTCTAGAGTGTGTGAAATATTCACATGGGGGAATGCAAGGACAAAAACATGGTGTTAGAAGAAGCCAACCCAAATGGATGATGACAGACAACTGTGACAACTGTGATACTGCCTGTCCGCCGACAGAGTTATTTTAGGGATTAACATTATTTTAACAGGAGGTGCTGACATCATTTTATTGGAAGGAAAATGAGTGGCCAAATTATTAGTTAGACCTTCCAAAATAAACCATACACTTGCAACTGGAACATGGGCTGAAGAATATCAACAACGAATGAAAAACAATGTCAATCAACCCCCGCCCATATGCCGCCACCCCCACCTACCCTCCACTTTTACTAATCATAATGGTCTCCTCTGGAATCTGTAAGTGGAAATGACCAAAATGGTTACAGTGCCAGTTAGATTCCGTTCAGTAGGGTTAGGGTTACCTGCAATTTGGGCTTTGTAAAATACGGGTGTTTCAAAGTGTATTTAACATTAACATGAACTTTATTGATCCCTGGGGGCAATTCTGGAATTACTCAACATCATGACGAGCTAGGGGGGGGGAGCAAGAATGTGGACTGTCTAGTAGGGAGCTCGGGGGGAGCAAAAGCATGGACCGGCTGTGGGTTCCCGAGGATCGGATTGGGAAACGCTGCTTTAGACCAATGGCTGTGTATAATCAGGGAGACGGACGGAACCCCTCAGAGGCTGTGAGAGCATGTCTCCGGCACAGTCTGCCGCCCCGACCTCCACTCCCCCCGTCTGCTGCCCCGCCCCCTCCATTCTCCTGCTGCGTGTCTCTGGCACGCGGACGAGGCCTGAGCCGCCGCCAGCGAGCGGGACGAGGAGGGCGAGCAGTGGAGTAGAGCCCAGCCGGGGTTCAGCGCGAGGTTACCGTCCCCAGAGGAGGAGGCCGGGGTGCGGCGGCAGCCAGAGGCCGCTGGAACTGGGCCATTCGGTGATGAGGAGGCAGTGGGAGGAACGACGCGTGACTCCCGAGGAGCTGGATTCCCCTCGCGACCTGGGGGGGGCTTCTCCGTGTGTCTGACAGCCCTAGCCGGGGCTAGTTCCAAGCAAAATGAAGTGTGGGCGCTTTGATCCTGTTAGATCCTAAGTGTCATGTGCTTAAGGGCCCCGTCCGCAGGGACTCCCCCATGAGCAGTAGCTGTAATCGCTCATTAGCTACCTCTAAAAAGAAATGCGTGGGTGCTGCTACGGGCTTAGGAAAAACGGCTCCTCTGAGAACACGACAAGTAGTAAAAATAATGAAGATAATGGGGTTTTCTCTGCATGCTGTTCCAGGCTTTGGGGGTCATCCTTCTCCAGAGTGTCCCATTGTCCCAGTTTTGGGAACTTTGGCCATCCTGTACTGTTCCGTGTGTGATCCCGTGGGGCAGTGTGTGCAAGTGTCCCTGCGTGTTTTTCCTTTAGCTTACTCTGTTTAGTGTGTAGTAGTAGTTACCAAAGAGGGTGGCCAACAGTGCTGGCATGGTATGTGACTCAACCAGAAGGTTGTCGGTTCGAGCCCCGGCCTTAGCAGGACAGTTACATCTCCATGGGCCCCTGAGCAAGGGACTTAACACCCAGCTCCAGAGGTGCTGTATGCCAGCTGGCTCTGTATAGTGCCCCCCGAGCTCTCTTTCACCTGGAGGGCACGATGGCGTAGGTGAAAAGAGAATTTCCCCTTGGGGATTAATAAAGTATTCTAAAACATGGTGTCCTTGGTGACTGCCCCCCATGACCAATTTCTGACCTCTGTGCTTGGTGCCTCAGATACCTGTACGAGAGAATCGACGGGCGTGTGCGGGGAAACCTTCGCCAGGCAGCCATCGACCGCTTCAGCAAGCCCGACTCGGACCGCTTTGTCTTCCTGCTGTGCACCCGTGCCGGTGGCCTGGGCATCAACCTGACGGCCGCCGACACCTGCATCATCTTCGACTCGGACTGGAACCCGCAGAATGACCTGCAGGTACGCTGGCTCTAACAGCCCGTAATCTCCATTAGCTGACAGCCAGAACCGCCTGCGCCTTTCAATTCATCCACGCCGCCATGGAAACGTAAATGCTAACATGATTGAACGGCACGGTGCCGAGCGATCCGATGCCAGCGGTGAGCCCTGCGCCAGGAATGCAACTGGGAAATCTGTTTATAAACGAATGGTTTGAAGTTTATACAGTGACGGCACATTCAGTGACAGCTGTGGTCAAGCAGTCATGTATCGGTACCTTCTCAGGGGATCTTTTAATCATTTAATCATAAAATAATAGATGGTTGATTCGCTTGCACAGATTGATGTTTCTTTTTTGTGATTTTTTTTTACTGTAATATTGGAAAATCAGTCAGCCCACTTCGGTCAGCAGAACTGCCAGATTTTCACTAGGATCCAGTGTGGGTGTGTAAGCCCAGCTGCCACAGAAAGCCCAGTAGGGGAGTTTCCCGGCCAGTGTAATTCCAGTTGAAGTGCCTCTCGGTTCAGCCTGTGTAGACAGCCCGGTTCTGAGAAACGAGGGGCGGTGGCAGTTCTGCATGACTGAACCCGTACACCCAAAATGGACCCCCGCTGCTGAGCTGAACAGCCGTCTGAGCTCTTTGTGACAGTCATGCACCTCAAATTTACTATCTGGAAAATATGATCAACCAGTTTCCCTAAGTAAATTCAGTTAAGTGGTTTAACTTGGGAGCAGACAAAAACTGTTTAAGCTGTTTTCAGCTAATATTTCGGAATTGGCTGCAAAATAGTACATAAATGCAGTTTTGCAAAGTATTTTTAAATCGTATACATTAGTGTTTCCCAGTCCGGTCCTCGGGGACCCACAGTTGGTCCGTGTTTTTGTTCCATTTCAGCTCCCTGCCAGACAGTCCATGTTTTTGCTCGGCAGCAGGGAGAGAGCAAAAACGTGGGCTGTCTGTTGGTCCCTGGGGACTGGATTGGGAAACACTGGCATAGATAAATCAAACCTTTTTAGGTTAATGTAAAATATTGACAATAATGAGTGCCGACCCCACGGAATGTCACAGGCTCAGTGTGTAGCTTTAGGGCAGGGGAAGCCGCAGGTGTTGCCAGAAGCGGGGGGGGCATTTGGAAAATGCTTCATATAGAGACCATCAGCAGAAGCAGTGCATTTTGAATGTATAATTTAGCACACAAAAAAAGTAGAGATCCTGTCCCCGTTTATTTCTGCCCATGTGTGTCCTCCCTGGCATGTGGGTGTCCCCATACATTGTCACGTATCTGCACCCGTTTCCCCCCCCTACAGGCCCAGGCTCGTTGCCACAGGATTGGGCAGAACAAGGCGGTGAAGGTCTACCGGCTGATCACCCGTAACTCCTACGAGCGCGAGATGTTCGACCGCGCCAGCCTGAAGCTGGGCCTGGACAAGGCCGTTCTGCAGAGCATGAGTGGCCGCGAGAACAGCGTGGGCGGGGTAATCTCCCTCTATGTCATCCACTGTCATTGGTGCTTGTGTCTGTCCGTTAAGGACAAGGGCGTAGGTTTGGTTTCACCATTGGTAGGGACATAATCAGCCCCCCTAAACACACACACAATGCTCCCACAATATTGGTACCTTTCATACCCAAATGTACGCCCTTGGTTCTGGATCAGCTGATATATAAGCTGTGTGTATTTCACAGCTGATTAATTCTGGTTGCTCCTATGATACTTCTGGTATTTATTATTTTTCATAAATACGATACATGGTGTATTTATGAATGTAGCTCGGCAGGGGAGCACCGATAGTGGCTTTGGCCATGATCTGTGTGTGGCCTGCAGCCAGCTCGTCTCTATCCCGGCTTGACCACCTCTACATCCTGCCCTCCTCCAGCAGATCCAGCAGCAACTGTCCAAGAAGGAGATCGAAGACCTGCTGCGGAGGGGAGCCTACGGGGCCCTCATGGACGAGGAGGACGAGGGCTCCAAGTTCTGTGAGGAGGACATTGATCAGATTCTCCAGCGCAGGACGAAGACCATCACTATCGAGTCCGAGGGCCGGGGCTCCACTTTTGCCAAGGTTTGGCTCCCCCTCCCCCGTGGTGTAGATAGTTTCTCCACCAGTCACACAAAACAGCCTCCTGGTGCAGCATCGGAGAAACGTATCTCCGTTGCCTGGATACACCTCTGTTCATCCTTCACGTGGTGTTTGTTTTCAGGCCAGCTTCGTGGCGTCTGGAAACAGGACAGACATCTCTCTGGACGACCCCAACTTCTGGGACAAGTGGGCAAAGAAGGCGGAGATCGACCTGGACACCGTTAACGGCAGAGTGAGTCCCGTCCCGTCTCATCCATCCTCTTTCTTGCGTTGAGGATGCTAATTAAAAAAAACACCCCCGCTCCCCTCGTCGTCCTTTGTGGGCTACAGAACAGCCTGGTGATCGACACCCCCCGGATTCGGAAGCAGACTCGCCCGTTCAGCGCCACCAAGGACGAGCTGGCCGAGCTGTCAGAGGGCGACAGCGACAGCGAAGACAAGCCCAAGCTCCGGAGGCCGTACGACCGCCTCAACGGCTACGGCCGCACCGAGTGCTTCCGTGTGGAGAAGAACCTGCTGGTGTATGGGTGAGCGGACCTCTGTGCCACGAGTGTGGCTGTGTTTGCCGTTTGAAGCCCACTAGCTTTTTATGCAAAGCAACCTACTGTGCCCCTTCAAAGGCACAACAGCAATCCCACATGGGCCTAAGCCTTCAGCTTACCATGCCGTACTGACGCACTGCTGCCACGGCACCTGCATCCAGGTGGGGGCGCTGGAGGGACATCCTGCACGGGCGATTCAAGCGGCAGCTCAGTGAGCGGGACGTGGAGGCCATCTGCCGAGCGCTTCTGGCCTACTGCCTGGTCCATTACCGCGGCGACGACAAGATCAAGAGCTTCATGTGGGACCTGATCGCCCCCTCAGAGGACGGGCGCACTCGGGAGCTGCAGAACCACCTGGGTGAGCTGATTGGTCCCTTAAAGAAAACAAGCACCAGGTCTCCAAAGAATGCATCTTCACTATACTGCACAGCCATCGGCAGATCGGCCTGATCGCCTCTTAAATACTCATGACCTCCTCTTTCCCCTACAGGGCTGTCGACGCCGGTGCCCCGAGGGCGGAAGGGGAAGAAGATGAAGGCCCAGGCCAGCTCCTTCGACATCCAGAAGGCCGAGTGGATCCGAAAGCACAACCCGGAACACCTTCTGCAAGACGACGGCTACAAGAAGCATCTGCGACATCACTGTAACAAGTGAGTGTGGTCCCAGGTCCTCCCCCCAACCCGCCCCCCCCCCGTGAGCTAGAAATTATCCATTGGGGGGGGGCCTACCCAGGTCCTCAAGAGTGTCTCAAACTGAAACGTAGGGAGGATCACATCCATCTTAATGGTGCCTAATGATGTATTAAAAACCGACCTGCAGATGTTATGGTAAGTCATTAATACTGTAGACGTTATGGTAAGTTGTTAATACTGTGTTCCGGAAATCGAAATGATGGGGACACAAGGAAACCTATCCGTCAATCCATCCATCCAGTGACGGGTCACACTGAGCATGGTTCCCTTTGCTGGGAGCACTGGGCAGGGAGCATACTGGATTGGGGTGCTGTTCCATCACAGGGTAAAGACATGGAGTGAAGCCCGTTTTGTTGTGGATGTTTTGATCTGGGTGTTGTGGGCCCCGGGACTCTGAGCTGGTCTGGTGTACAGTGAGAAAGTTACAAAGCGGTGCTTAAACAGAAATAATATAAAAAGTAATATTAAAATCTCTGAGAGTGGAGTGTGCTTTCTCCCCCGGTTCTGCCTTGGCGCTGTCGCCTCAGGCTTAGTCTCCAGGGACCGTAGGGCCCGGACTCGGTGAAGTGCTTTGTGGCAATGCTTCTCATTAAAACACTATATATGAATAAGATGGAATTGAATTGATTTAGGTAGCTCACTGATGTAAAGGTACACGCATGCGGGGCTCTAACTGCCATACCGGAGCGAGTGAGGCCATAAACGCAGCCCTGCATGAAGCGGCTTGCTCTCCATTCCCCCACTGGCCTCACTCTGTCAGGGTGATTTGTCTGCCGTGACGAATACAGGAAGAAGCAGCTTTTCATGGACTGTACCAGTGCCCTGGAGGCATGGGTGGGAGGGAAGGGCTGTCAGAACCCTGCAGACTGGAGGGAACTGGGAGGGGGTGGGGTGTGATCAACGCTGTGCTTTCAGCTAGTGTCAGTGAGCCCCCCCAACCCCCGCCCCCCAGTCTACTTGAACCCAATATTCCTGGTCCTTCACTGTGACTGCATGTGACGCCCCTTCGTCTCTCTGTGCAGGGTTCTGCTCCGGGTTCGAATGCTTTACTACCTGAAACAGGAGGTGATCGGCAACCAGGCCCAGAAGGTTCTGGGCGGCTCGGAATCCAGGTGGGAACTGAAAATCAGCCGGCGCCGTTCTGGACCTCTGGTGTCGAATCTCTGGTGGCCCACATTCTCGGCTCCCAGTGTCAGTTTGAGGTTTAGTGAACACCTGACGTGGTCATGGTCCTTTGGCAACCCTCGCCAAATTTATGGTCTTACCAGAAGGTGTGCCAAGTCCAAGCAGGAGTTTAGAAAATGAACGAGAATTTTTTTCTAGATTCCCGTAACAAAAACGGGCAACATCAAGGTGCTGTGATGTACTTCTCAGACATCTATTCCAGCCCGTTAGTGTGTTTACCCTGTCTGACACTCATGTGATGAGCTGGAAATGATGAGTGACAGATGTTCTTGTCATCATACGGTGACTGTCTTCACACACTCTCCGTATCACGGTGGATTTTGAGGAATGTGTGTTTGTGTCTGTTTGTGTGTCTCTGATTTTCATTCTGCTTTGTTCTGCCATCCTCAGCGAGATCGAGATCTGGGTCCCTGAATTGGGCCACTCTGAGCTGCCCGCGCTGTGGTGGGACACTGGGGCGGACAAGAGCCTCCTGCTGGGGGTCTATAAGCATGGTGAGTCGTCTCCCCCCCCACCCATCATCAACTACTGCTACAGAGCCGTCACTTGCTACATTCTCGCTGAAACACTTCCTCTGCTGGGGATGAAGCTTCTGGGTCTTCACCATTTTCCTTAATTCCCCCGAAACCTGGAGATTATTCAGGAAGAAACGCAAGCATTAGCGTCTCCTCTGACGGCTGCCAGGGGGCCGTCTTTAGTACCTTCTGTGATTTTTGGGGTCTTTATGTACTCAAGTAGCTACCAGTAGAGACGGAGTAACTGCTTATAGCAGAGAGGTGAAATGAGTGAACTGCAGTGGCTGCCCTTCCCCCCCCCACCGCAGGGTACGAGAAGTACAACACGATCCGCGCGGACCCCGCCCTCTGCTTCCTGGAGCGGGTCGGCCGGCCCGACGAGAAAGCCATCGCTGCCGAGCAGAGGGCCAACGATTTCATGGACGGGTACGTGGTCCACCGCGGCACTGCTGAGTCAGAGAGCGCAGCGCTGTCTGTGATGGATACGCCGCGCGCGAGCGCTGCCTGTACCATACTGGCTTTAATCTCGCCGTTTGCCTCATTTACTTGCTAATTGTCTGCAGTGTACATGCTGTAATCTGTCATTCTTACTGATTATGCCTTCCTGAAGGCCTTAGACCAAAATATTGCAGACTACCGTGGTGCTTATGAGCACGCAGTGTGGGACCGACTGTTTATAAATAACTCGTCTCAGCAAGAACGTGAATCGGTTTATTTAAAAGGCATGGTAATTATCGATTGTTAGTAGTTTGTCTTTATGTTGGTTTTGGTATGGTCCTGCCCTTGAAGCTTGGGGGCGGGGTTAAAACAGGAAGTCCCGCCTTTCTGTATCCTGCTGCTGTGTCCCGCCTCTGCCTTCCCTCATGGTCCTTTTTCTCCTACTCAGTGATGTGGACGACCCGGAATACAAGCCTGCTCCAGCACTGCTAAAGGATGACATAGAGGTAACAGTCAGGGTATCATAGGACGATTCTGCTGGAGCACTTTCTGTGCCACTCTCCAGGTGGGGAGGAATTGGGGGGGTCCTAATAATGTGACTATAAACACTCTCCTGTCCCGCAGGATGATGCATCTTCCTCCGGCGACTTGGTCATTACCGACACTACTGGAGGTAAATCACAATCCCGAAATACACAGCAGCCAAAACCAGAACAATCCTGCTTAATTATGAGTTTTTAATGGGTTACTGACGGGTCTCCTGTGTGCCAGAAGGTGGCGCTGTGGCGGAGGGGGACTCTGCTTACTGGCCGCCGCCATCTGCGCTGACGGCTCGCCTGCGGCGCCTCATCACCGCCTCGCAGCGCTACACCAAGAGTCGGCAGATCCTGCAGATCCACCAGACGCAGCAGGCCCTGCCGGCCCCGCCCTCTGCTCTGCTGACGCCCACGCTCACGGACACCCTCAACCCCAAGATGGCCGCCAAGATGGAGCGGCAGCAGAGGTGAGGCGGAGACTCAGTACCCGCATTTCTGCCCAGTCCCAGGCAGAGGGGAGCCTGTCGCTTAGCAAAGCCCCCCCATTACCTCACTTCAGGTGGACCCGTCGGGAAGAAGCCGACTTTTACCGCGTGGTGTCCACCTTCGGAGTGGTGTTCGACCCCGAGGCGGGCCGCTTCGACTGGACCAAGTTCCGCGCCATGGCACGGCTGCACAAGAAGACAGACGAGAGTCTGCGGAAATACCTCTGGGCGTTTACGGCTATGTGCCGCCGGGTCTGCCGCCTGCCGCCGAAAGACATCGGTGAGTGACCAATGAGAACGGGTGTCCCAGTATTCCATGGTTACCTGTAGTTACCCATGGTTACCGAGACAACCGTGAATGGAAATGAATCAAAAGTACATTTTGTGGTCCTTCCAGGCTTCGTGGATCCCTCCATCTCCATCCAGCCCATCACGGAGGAGAGGGCGTCCCGCACGCTCTACCGCATCGAGCTCCTCCGCAAGGTCCGGGAACAAGTGCTGCGTCACCCGCAGCTCTACGAGCGCCTGGCTCTGTGCCAGCCGGGACCTGACCTGCCCGTGTGGTGGGAGCCGGGGCCCCATGACCGCGACCTCCTGATCGGGGCGGCCAAGCACGGCGTCAGCCGCACAGACTACCACATCCTGCGTGACCCTGAGCTGGGCTTCACGGCAGCCCAGCACGCCTACAGCCAGCAGGCGGGGGCTCCGGGCCGCACTGCCACGCCGCTCCTTGCTCCTCATGCCCAGCTCCCGTCAGCAGGGGGGTCCCCACCAGCCGGCACTCCCCAGCAGCATGACGTCCCACCCAGGGTGCTCCAGGACGAGGTGACACCCAAGGAGGAGGCATCATCCGAGGACGAAATCAGGGAGGGCAAAGTGCAGCCTGGGCACTGGAGCCCCCCAACAGGGCCCCCAACACCATCCGGCCTGGAAGACAAGACTGGGCCCGCCAAGGGGGAGAGTGAGAGCCGCATGGTGGCAGCCCGGACCAAACCCCTCACGCCCAACTCTGCGGCCAAGAAGCAGAAGAAGGCCAGCAAGCGGAGCCGGCGGGACGCCTCGGACTCCGACGGCTCCTCGTCCTGTTCCTCCTCGCGCTCTTCCTCCTCCTCATCCTCGTCGTCCTCCTCCTGCTCGCGCTCCGGCTCCAGCTCTTCTTCCTCTTCCTCTTCGTGTTCCTCAGGTTCCTCGTCTTCCTCGTCCTCTTCCTCGTCCTCCTCTGAGGACAGTGAGAGCGAGGGAGAGGAGGATGCCAAGAGAGGTGAGTCTGGTGATCGAGTTGCACAGCTTATGAAGATTATTAGTTATGAAGTGTAAAAAGTACAATATTTAATATTTATATTGCTTACCCTTGTTACTAGGATACATATTATGTAAGGGAAAAAAATAGAAACATGTTGTATTTACATTTATGTTGCACAAATAAATTGAATGCAGGGAAGGCCGCCCCCTGCTGGTAAGCAGGAAGGTGTGGCCTGCCGCAGACTGACTGCTGATTGGTGCATTTCAGTGCCACCGCCCCCCAATGTGAAGGGCTTTGACGAAGACAGCGCCGCCTCCATCAGCACCACGCAGGACGAGACACAGGACAGCTACCTCACTGAGAACGGCCTGCCTGGCTCCTCCATCCCCTTCCAGGAGGGCTATATGCTGGCTGCCTCCTACTGGCCAAAGGTATTACAGCAGCCCTAATCTGCATATACATGAACTGCTGTTGGGTTTGAGTTACTCCAAGAGAGGAGTACATTTTTTTCCTGGATTTTTTACATACTAGATGTGTAAGTGAAAAGTAGTTTACGGTTATTATTATTTGCTTGCCCTCGTAGGACCGAGTCATGATCAATCGGCTGGATAGTATTTGCCAGGCCGTGCTGAAGGGGGTGTGGCCTACAGCAAGGCGCACCTATGAGGGCAATGTGGTGTCCTCCTTCTACACCACCAAGCTGCTGGACCGGACCGCCGCCCCCCCTGAGGAACCCTCCGCCTCTCCTCAGAGGTCAAAGGTAAAAAGAAGCATGTTCCAGAAAAGCATGCTGGGAAATGCATATGGCTCTGGGAGCGGTCCGCCACTTACTGGTGGCACATGAAAGGGCCGCCTCAGATCTAGTGAACCTGATTCCATTGAGGAAAGTCACACATAGCTGGGCTTTTGATAAAGATATTTTGGAGAGGTGAGGAGAGTGTGTAGGGATGCTAGAGATTGTAGATTTTGGGGTGTGTGGGGGGAGTTTGGATTATATGGGGGTGGGGGTGACGGGACTGTCCAGGGAATACATTGTTGTTGTTCTGACAGCATCTACTTGGAATTTCTTTTATAATTGACTTGGGGGTGTAACAGTAGACAAAATTAATGGTTCAGTACGAACCTCAGTTTCAGTTTAACAGTTCGGTGCAATTTCGGTACAGGAGGGAAACAGAATTTGTTTTTAAATTATTATTAAGTGCAAACACAGTATAGGAACTGTTGCAATCCAAAGGCAATGTGCCTGTCTAAATTACAAACCCTTAGAGATGCATATTTGCTCATTGTAAAGATGAATTTGGAAAATAAATTTAAAAAAAATAAGAGTACATAATAACATGTCATAATGAAGGGAACCTCGCAATCTCTTACTGACTGTGGTCACATATCTGTAGACCTCATAACCTTTTTTTTAAATATGTATCTTTTTTTGAAAATGTGCTTTGGAATGCTTTTCCACTGCACTAGGTTCCGTTCTTTTTGGTACTTCAAAAAAGATCTTGTGATGGTTTTTTTTTGGCATCCAGATCTTGGTGAATCTCGTCTTACAACCTTATCGCAATTAAAGCTTTTGTTTCTTCATTTGTCACTTTGCTCCTCGTTATTTTCTTTGAGTTTGTAACTAGTTTGGTACTTTTGGTGCTTGTACTTCTACTGGTACTGGACCGGAAATCAATGAAAAGGGGAATTTTTAGTAGCAAACCTACAGTGCCTGGTGCAGTGGAAAAGCACCCTTAGATGCCACACTGGCAGTTGCCTGCTTTGCTCCAGTTGTACACGTGCTCGGATGATGTCATCTCAAATGACTGTTGGATGTGTTTCAAGCATTGGAGTTTGGTATAACAGTCTTGATGTTATCAGCTACTCTCTCTCCAGTGTTGGTGTGATTTATTGGGAAACCAGAATGTTCCCAAACTGCCAATTATGATTGACTGTAACCAGCTACAATAAGCATGTTTTCTGTGTTGAACATTTACTTGTGACTTTACATTCCGCCTTTGTCAAGAAATGCATTCATTCATTTTATTTTGCGTTCTGAAGTGAAAATGACGTGACTGAACAAGCACACGACAAATATGTGTCCTGTTACAGCCCTCATTCGCCTACATTTTGTGCACCTTTAAAGGCTGCTTGTGTCTTTCATTTTCCTCTTTATTTCAGTCTGCACCAGGGTTTTAGTGAAGTCGTTTAATCTGCAGAGGTATGATCTGTTTTTGGGCACTTGTCTGTCTGCTACCAAGCTGAGCCTTTCTGTGCCCTGGGAAGATCGCTGCCTCGCCTACAGCGGCACACGCACACACACACGCTGCCCACCCACCCACACAGAAAGCCAGGCGGCGGAGATGCGACACGCTGATCCGCTCAGGATTCTTGCAAAGCACCGCAGAGTAGAATAATAAAAACTGGCAGCAATACGATAGCTCCCCCCCAACTCTATTAATTCACACAGCAGGCAGCGTATGGGGGGGGGGGGGGTTTGCAAGATGCGGCCAGTTCACCTGTCTGTTTATATGCCGGGCTTGTCTGCCTGCATGGGCTCATCACTGTTTGAGAGTCAATTACTCCATCCTTTAATACAACAACAATGGAAATACACAAGTCGCCAGTTTTATTCTCAATGTTTCTAATGCATTTGAAGGCTTTTAGAAGCTTCAAGTCTGTCAATAGGCACTGTCACCATACTCCTGCACATCTGCATTCAGTGGTGAGGACAACCTCTTTTTGCAGTGGTGGTGAGGGAGGAAATGTTGACTTTGAAATCAGCAGTGGACAGAAGAATTCCAATCCCTCAGTCACTGCTTATTTAATTCAATAAGAGCCAATACAGTAGCTAGACTGAAGTGGAATAAACCAGGTAGTGATTAGTGGTGTCCAACATTTTTGTAGTGCAGTCTACTTTTGCAAGAAAAATTCCATTATTTTAATTTTTTTTAGTGTGTCCTATTGGTGGGTCGTTTAGCGGCGTCAAGATCCACTGGGAATGTCTTTGTGATCAACCTGTTGATCGCATTCATCTGGTTGGCAATTTTGGCTTAGATGGTCCCACCCACTGAGTTTCATCTTCTGCTTGTATCACTGTTGGCTAAAAGAATGTTGCTGTTGAAGCTACAGACCAACACACATCCTGTTATTGTCCAGACACAGACAGAATTGCTTCTAAATAGAGTCAGTTTGGAAGCAGACCTGAACTTTAAAAGACTACAACCAAACTGCTGCTGCACATGTGATCTACCACGATTGCAGTGGAAGCCCATATGGTCTCAGGTTGTCCGTTGGTATGGAGCATGATGGTTCTAACACTGCTGTCCTGGTGAAAATTCTGGAGGGGATCAATTGGTCTACTTTCCTCACACCTGATCCGTGCTCTTGCTTTCGTAGGACGGCTCTCTGAAGCTGACCTTCCAGAAACAGGCCGGACCTCAGAAGCGGCCCCTGGATGCTGAGGACGGCCCCCTGGGCCAGCAGCAGTACCTGGCCCGCCTTCAGGAGCTGCAGAGCGCCTCGGATGCCAGCCTGGCCGACTTCACCAAGCCTCATCCAGCCCTGTCCCACGGTACCCCTCTTACAGGGCTGCTGCCTGATCAACCCGTGCCTGGGCCACATTAAGGTTCCCTGGCCCTGAACTCAGCACCTCTGACCCCTCTCACTCCCCACAGGCATCATGGGGCAGATGAGGGTGAATGGGACCGTGGACGGGCAGCCTCTCATGAAAAAGAGACGGGGCAGGCGGAAGAACGTGGAAGGGGTGGACCTCCTGCTCATGAACAAGGGCAGGGCCTCCGCAGTTTCGGACCATGTAAGATCTCCGGTGTGACTTTGTATAATACTCAAATGTTAATTATAGTATTTAACCATGTAGGACTATAAACATCTGCATGTCTAAGACTTTGGCCAGTGATTGTATTTAACTATGATTTTAGACATACTTTGGATATTTAGATTTTCAAAAGGTCTAGTTTAACATTGTGACAAGGTGTTTTCTTGCATTAAATTGGCTTCCACTCTGGAAGGTTGCTGGTTCAAATCCCAGGAATGCCCAGAGTAATTCTACTCCATTGGGCCCTTGAGCAAGGCCCTTAACCTGCAATTGCTTCATCCTGGGTATGACGTTAATCTACATCCAGTCCTATAAGGAGGTCCTCCAACTTACAGGGAAAAACTTGGGGGTTAGTGGCAGGATTGGCACTCTAGCCACTGGAAAAAACTCACTGGTCCATTCAGACTGGTGTGGCGGCTGAATTATCACTGCAGTCAGGTTCTCATCCCCAAGGTGGTTTGTCATGTGATGCGTGCGGCGACGCGCTGTAATCAGTGCATGATCCTTACCTCTCTCTCACCTACTCTGCCTGTACTCTGAGGTGTACTAGCTTCAGGATAAGCTTGTGGGAAATTCCATGTAAAAGTTTGTTTGATGTCACATCTATAACACTGATAAAGTGCTCTGTATTTCTAAATTACTATATGAATTTCAGGGATTTGTTTATATTTAACCTAAGGGGTAATATAAAAATATATGCAAATTGCAACACTAGGCTTGTCATGCTCTGGGGCATTTTTTACCCGTATGAGCCTAAATGTCACATTGATAATGCTACATTGATAAATGTCATGTTGATAATTGCCTCAGTGTATGTTTTTCCATGTGTGATATGTATCTGTGTGGCAATCTAGATGGCAACCCAGGAAACTTTATGCCGTGTTCCGGTTTGCCCCACCCCCAGGTGACCTCTGGTTGGTCTGGTGGCACCCAATCCAGCCCAGTCGTGGCACCCGCTGTGGGGTATGGGCAGACCCCAGTGGACCTGGAAAGCAGAGTCCCCGTCATCAACTTGAAGGACGGCACGCGACTGGCTGGTGACGACGCCCCCAGAAGGAAAGACCTGGACCAGTGGTTGAAGGAGCACCCGGGTTTTGTGGCGGACGTGGGAGCCTTCATCCCTGTGAGCCGACTCACCGTCCTCTATCCTCTTCATGCTTGCAAACCACAGCTGCGATTTAATCTTTAATAACTAGCTAATTCAATGTTATATTTTGGGCAAAATACCTTTAAAAGAATGAGATTTAAGATTGTCTCTTCACCTTGTGGGAGGATGGGACATCTCTGAGATCATTTGAGGTGACCTGGCAATAATCGTGCAATCGGCGCTTGCTGGGTGTCTCTGTCGGTGGCACAGGGAGTCAGCAGGATGCAGTTTCCGGATGGGCGGCCGAAGCAGAAGAGGCACCGTTGCCGCAACCCCAACAAGATCGACGTCAACAGCCTGACAGGCGAGGAGCGTGTGCAGATCATCAACAGGAGAAACGCCCGCAAGGCGAGCTCAGTCTCCTCCTCCTGCTCCACCCCTTCCCTACCTGGAAGATCCTGGGCCTCTTCCTCCCGTTCCCCGCTGAGCTTCTTGTCCTTCTCTCCCCATAGGTGGGTGGAGCTTTTGCTCCGCCCCTGAAGGACCTGTGCCGCTTCCTGCAGGAGAACCCTGAGTATGGTGTACCCCCCGAGTGGGCCGATGTGGTGAAACAGTCGGTGAGTCCCTCAGCCCTGCCCCAGTGACATGCTCTCATTCATCCTGGTGGCATGACATTATGGGATGGAGCAGCTGAGTTTCTGTCCATGACCGTGACTACGACTGGGACCACGTGCTTACTGGTCTCCACCTCCTTCCCCCGGCAGGGTTACCTCCCAGAGAGCATGTTCGACCGCATCCTGACTGGACCCATCGTCCCCGAGGAGGTGAGCCGGCGTGGCCGGCGGCCAAAGAGCATGCTGGGCAGGACGGCGGCGGCGGCTGCGGGCGGAGCCGGCGCCTCAGCCCTCGGCCTCAAACCCCTGCTGGCCAATGGGCTGCTATCGGGGGTGGACCTGTCCAGTTTGCAGGCCCTGCAGCAGAACCTCCAGAGCCTGCAGTCGCTGCAGCTCAGCGCTGCTAGCCTCATGGGCCTGCCCAGTAGCGCCGGAGACGCCGCCAACCTGGCCGCCATGTTTCCCATGATGCTCTCTGGTATGGCGGGGCTGCCTAACCTCCTGGGAGCGGGCGGCCTGCTGGGCAAAAGCCAGGATGGCACAGCAGGCGAGGCGGGCGAGGCCGAGGACGGGAAGAAGGGAAGCGCCGGCAGTGACTCCGCCCCCAAGGCCCCGCCCCAGCCCATGGACGCTAAAGGTGAAAGGACAGAGGCTCAGAGCACCACCCCGTCTGCTTCTGGCAGCTCCGCCCCCCTAAGTGCTGCTGCCGCAGCAGGCTCCGCCCCCCCACTGGCACTGAACTCCTTGCTCCTCTCCGGCATGCTGTATCCCGGGCTGCTGCTTAACCCAGGCCTTAACCTCCCTGTGTCCGCGTCCCCCCAGCCCGGCGCGCCCGAGAAGCAGCGGCGGGGGGCCGACACGGAACGCGCCCCTCTCAGCTTGCCGGCTCAGGGAGCACGGCCGGCCGAGGCAGAGGAGTCCGGAGAGGAGGAGGACGAGGATGAAGAGGACGAGGATGAAGAGGAGGGGTCCACAGGACATAGAGAAGATAACAGTGGAGCAGAAGGGTCCAATAAAGTAGAGTCTTCCTCTTCTGAGTCGGACAGCTCATCTTCCTCCTCTGAAGACTCTGATTCCAGCGATGAAGACTGACCCCCATGTACCCTTGCAATGTATATGTATGGATATATAAATTACCGTGCACTTACATTGTATTTTTTTTTTCTTTTTTGTAAATATCAAAACTAAAGTATTGTGTAATAAAGGAAAAAAATTAAAAAGAAACTGTATCTAGAGAAGCTGAAATGAATTTTCAGTGTTTGTTCAAAGGTACAATATTGTTTTGAGAGACATTTTGCATGTCAAACTTTATTAGATTTCTGAAATTTGTGAACTTGTACTACACAATAATGTACAATTGCAACAAAAAAAGAGGCAAAGGCATTATTGTTATAATTATGTTGGGATTTAATTTTATTAAAAAAATAATGCTCAATGTGAACTGTACATTTAATATATTTGGAGTTGGGGGGGACTTTATACATATTTTGGCTTAAGTTGTAAATAATTTTTCCAGATCCTAAACACTTATAATTTACAGATCGAGCTTTGGAAATGTCAGCAATAACTCGGGCAGCTAATGAATGTCATTGTAGCTGTGCATCCTGGACGTTAGCCATTTCGTCTTTAGAGCCCTGGGGAACGATGCGGCTCTTATTTCCACGGTCGCCGTTTTTCAACCGTCTGTCTCTCTCTAAGCGACTCCTAAACTCCAAATGAAGAAAAGCCCATTTAGCTCTAACGGGAGAGGACTCATCTTCAAGCACCCGGTTGCACCACACACTAATTAGTGCGTATGATCTTAGTGTGTGGTGCTCCTGCTGCGGTATTTGCCTACAGAAGTATAGGAGTAGTCTGTTATACTGAGCTACACCTCACCAACTCTGCTGCTGCACAAAAATCCCAGTTGACTGCAGATCACACTTTTTTTTTTCCCCCAAGTCTGCCGTGACTTGGATACGATACCAAGGTCTTACTGAAGGTCAAGAAGCTGGGGATGAAACTCTTACCCAATATGTGCCAAATTCCACTTCTGTCAATGGAACAATGGAAGAAAGGCTCTTATTACATTTTTTTTTTAAAAACAACACCGCTAAATGCATTTAAAAATTCAGGTACAACAAAGTGTTCTGGAGACCCGTGGAATGGAAGGGAATTCCAGTGGGATGGTTTTCCGGCTTTTACCTCACTTAGCGTGTGAGCGCGTGGCGTTCCTCGCCATTTGCCATTTTATAGGACAGCCTCCAGCGTTCTGCACTTTTTCTAGAGACCGTTAGGGAATCTCCTGCTTGGCAGAACCTTCCATGGGTACACTGTGCGTTTCTGTTACCTTCTTGGTGTTCCTGTTTCATCTGTCCCTTTCTGTGTTGTGTCTACGGCTACATCCTGCACAGTCCTACTCCAAGCCACAATCTCTTTTCCTTTGAGTGGATTGGGTCCTGTCCTCCGGCTAATGGTGCACAGGGGTTGTGCACCATTTGAGGGCTTCCTAGTTCTTCAGAGAAAGCCCAGACCCATCTCAGATAGCATCAGAGGTCAGTGTGATGGGCTGCCACTGCCGTGGAATTTCAGTACAGCTGGGCTGGGTTCATCAAAGTGTATATATATATATATGTATATTTTGGGGACTTAAATGATGCAGTTCTTAATTGTAGTGAAATGACAACTTGCTAAAATGACCACTAGGACTTTTGTGTAAAATACTTTTTGACTGTATAGTGGTGCCATGGTAGGGGTCCAGTTCCATTTCACAGTTGGATTTACTTCTTCTCAGGCGCGCAAAGTAAACAGGACACGCAGCACACTGTAATACTTTTGCATTTTGAAACGTCACACGACATGTGACCTGGGTTATGGATCTTTGTAGTCCAGACCAACTCGGCGTTCGATGATCTTTGTTTTCCTTGGGCCGTACTTGGCTATTTTGCAGTTCATTCTGTATGTTTTTGTTGTTGTTTTTTTTTTTCTCTCTTTTTGAGAAATTTTCCTATCCCGTTCAGTTAATCGCTTATGGAATGGTTGTATTTCAGCTGCACTGTGGAAAACTTTATTTGTGGCAGTATATGACTATGCTCACAACATGCCTTTATGTGTATCTAGAGTTCTGCTGTGCAGGTTCTACCCTAGTAGTTCAGCTCCAGCTGTGTAAAAGGACTGTTCTCTAGTATCTAATATCTATTTTATTTGTGTATGTGTATATATGCATACACGCACACAAATATGTGTTTTTTCTGGCTATAGACACGCCAGCACCCTCCATCTGTAACATCAATGTTGAACTGGTTTTTGTATAATTACTGAAACATAATAAATATATTTAGCTACCAACACTGATGTATTCACTGTAATTGACCCACTTGTCACCACACAAGGATTTCTACCATAATCGGCTAAAGCAATCATTTTAAATGATGATTGATGATAGGAAAATAGAAATTGTGCAGCATCGCTGTGTTGTTGTCTTTATTTATTTTCCGATAAAGAGCATAGGCAGGGTATTCGGCAAAGCAGCCCACATCTGATACCCTCTGTCTTTCTCTCTGTTATCACTGGCAGACTCTCCTAGCAGACTCTCCTGTGACCCAATATGACCTTAAATGGACTTGGTTCACTGCTTCAGTCATGTGCTGGGGTTGATGTAACAGATTGCTGAAGTTACCTCCTCAACTTGACCGCAACTGTAATCTGTACCACTTCATTGTTGTGTTAATCAAGGTGAACTCTACCCTATTGTTTTTGGGAAATACCTGCAGAAGTGTGCTTTATGTTTTGCATATTTCTTCTCTTGGTGTGTTCTAATATGAGTGCAGCCACGGATAGTTCTAGAGGTTGTCTTACATTGTACTTAAAATTATATAATGCAGAACCAAGTCTGGGAATCAGCTTATACATGTAAATGTTCCAGAGTTTATATTTTACATGTGTAATCTTAACATTCAGGGATGCAGACACAGCTCTAGTTCAGTAGTTGTCGATGTGCGATATACAGGCAGTCCCCAGGTTACGAATGAGATCCATTCCCTAAGTCTGTCTTTAAGTCAAATTTGTAGGTATGTTGGAAAAATAATAATAGAGCGCATAATAATTATACAGTAATAATAAGTTATTACATACAGTACTGTGCTGTACCCAGAGCCAAGGAACCAGTGAAGCTGCACAATGTTTTCACAAATGTCACAAAATTGTCTGTGCGTTTGTTATTACGAACCATATTATTTAACCCAAATTTTTTATATGATAAGCGTTATAGCAGGCACTTTGTAAGTATGAGTTGTCCGTAAGTCGGATGTTCTTGACCTGGGAACTGTCTGTAAACTATCTGTTGCAGGGCACCTTCTCAGAACACTACCTTGCAGTCTACTTGGTGTAAAAATGTTTTTGGACATGATTATACAGCGAGAACGTGACAACACTGTTGCAGGTCAGAGAGGCCTGATGCAACATGAAACTCACATTCACATTCATAGCTTTTAATGTTCTTTCTCATAATAGCCCAAACGCATACCAAGCTCCAATAAAATAGGTTAATTAAAAAAAAACATGGTATTATTTATTGACAGTTTTTAGGCAAAACACAAACTATTTTTGTCTGTACATCACACCTTTGAAAGGTCACTTTGCACATCATTAATCGGAACCTTGGCAAGTTTTCATCTGGACCACAGTTGCACATTTGGGCATGTATAGCGTGTCAGGTCTAAGGATTTCAGAAGATTTCCAGTTCGAGCCCCGGCTTCGGCAGAACAGTCACATGTCTGTGGGCCCTTGAGCGAGGCCCTTAACCCTCAGCTCCAGGGGCACCGCACGTTAGCTGACCCTGTGCTGTGACTCCCAAGCTATGGAGAGCAAGATAGGGTCAGTGAACAAAAGCATCCTGATGTACCTGTACTTGTGCAAATGGCGAATAAAGCATGTTTTTTGTATTTGCTATGTTTGTCTAAGGAATGGCCTGCCACTGTGCAAAATACCATTATCTCAGATTACCTGCCAGGAAGGAATTACCAACAAGCAAAAAAAAAACACATGTATGAACATCAACTTGCAATGTGCGTTTCCTTGTATCTGTTCTTCACTAAATATTTTTTCAATAAGTTTTATTTGCACCAGTTTTATGATGTGGTCTTTGTAACTAAATGACGTTCAATTGACAATTTTTTTTGTAAATCATCAGTTATTTCGTAGGAAATTATATGCAGGAAGCATAAGATCATTTTATTGAAAATGTTAACGGATTATCTGTGGTGTTTGTGTTTAGAGTTAATGGTATATAACAATTATGTTGTACGGAAATGTCTATCATGAGTATCGTAACACTGCTTTATACGGTAATAGTTTCAAAGACCATTTTGCTCAGTGCATCCAAAACTTACGTCTGGGATAGGGTCAAACGTAATGAAAAAGCAGCTAGTAAATGGGCACTGAGCTAACCGACAATATCGTCACCCAATAATGCTCATTATGTTGCTCGAATTTACATAACATTTATATTTGATGTCGCCCTTCTAGTTTAGGGGAAATGTTTATATGAATGTCTAGATAGGTTCCGAGAATAGATCAGGTTTGTTTGCAAAATATATATTGTTAAATTCAACATCTCTTTTTAAATATTGTTACTGCAACCCTACACATTCATATGATGCACACTGTTACAGGAACTAGTCCAAAAGCCGTGGTAGGCAGCAGGAAGTTTTTATTTGGCTTCTTGAAGGACTTCTCCCAAAACCAATCCGCATCCACGATACAGAGTTGGGGGCGGGTCCTTTGCCTTACGCAAGCTCGTTTTACCGAATGTTATACGCTCACAATAGTCGTTCAAGGGGGGTACGTATTTGTCGTAAGTCAACTACGCAGGGCAGCAGCTGTCACTCAAAGGGCATTTAAATGGCTGCATTGTACATTACTGCATATCGTACAGTACGAAAACAATGATATGGCTACCAGTATACCTCATAGCGTAACCGAGTGTCTTTGCTGTTACTGCAGCGACTGTTTTGCGGATTAATACTGAAGAAGCATATTTTTTTTTCTTGTCCAGCATTAACACCGTTGGCATAAATTGCTTAAAAATGAGCGAGGAGGAAGAGAGTTTGCAGAAAACGAAACAGGGCTTTGAAGACCTCTGCCGAGCCCTTAATATGGACGAGGAGGCGCACAGCGAAGCATGGAAAAATTACGAAAATATTAATAAAAATTACACCTTAGAGGTAAGAACCGTGGGGAATCTGGATATGTGTGTTTTTTTATTTAGATTTTGGCATTAGACGGTGGCGCTAGGTGACTGCGCGGAAGTCTGAATTGTGGCCGTATTTATATCGCCATTTTATTACGAAAAATATCTGAATTGTGAAATGTATATAAGTAGCTTTAATGGCAAGGTGTGGAAATTAGCCAACGTTGAGTGTTTTCGACGTTTTTGAAAGAAAAGGGGAGTGGGCGGGGGCGGGGCTAGAGATGGGGGCGGGGTTAGGGGCGCCCGTCATACCTTCATTCACTCACAGTGAGACTAAGCACAGCGGGATGAGTGAAGCGGGATTTGGGACCCGGATCAACGGTATAACAGTTAGATCTCAGCTCCTATGAGCATCTCCGAACTTATCAGACTTGGCTGCACCAGGTGGTGCTTGTAAAATACTTTTAAATATCCAATCATCCATCTTCCATCAATTTAACCTGCTCAAGGTCATGATGGGGTTACCTGAAGTCTATGCCAAATAGCTTTTGGAACAAGGTTGGGGTAGGACAGGATCCCAGGCCATTGCAGGGCACATGTATACACAGAGTCAAATACTAGGAGAACAGTGAACACCAGGTACCCTAACAGCATGCCTTTGTACTGTGGGAGGAAACTCACAATGCACTGAGAGAACATGCAAACTCCACACAGAGATTCAAGAATGTTTCATATAATCCTAACAATTGATCGTTTCGCAAGGTTAATTAAGAGACATGCCATCGAAATTCCATTAAAGCAGGCCTTTGGAGACCTTCCTGAAAATTTGCTCTAATAAAATGTCACATAAAAGATGAAACTCATAGTAATGTAAGGCTGTACAAAATACAAATAGAACTATACATGTAAATGTATTGATAGTACTGAAAATGAAATCAGAATAAAAAAAGTTGTATGTCATTAATTAAGATAATGGGATAAAGCCACTGCATTACATTAATGTCACACAGCTCAGAGATATACCCATGATAAGAGTTATTAAACAAGTAATGGACGGCTACACGGACTTGTCAAGTGCCTTGAATTGAAACAGAATATTGCAGGTCTCATCTTCAGCGTGTCCACTTCCTTCTGTAGGGGCATTGTGGCACCATCCTGGATAAACAACTATGTTTACATTAAATGTATTTTTCTAAAACTATGCACATTTTTGAGAAAGCAGCTTTAGGAAGTCCTTGACGCAACTGGGGGATAAGGCCCTTATTCAAGGGCCCAATGGTGACATCACTTTGCTGACCCTGGGATTGGAACCTGTGACCTTCCGATCATAAGCATAGCATAGCATTTTAATCCACGGAGTTATATTGTAACCTATTTATTGAGGTGATATGGGATATGACTGCAGATATGTTTGTGGGACTAGAGCTACTATTTTGTTGATCTCAAGGTTTTTAATAACAGTACTATAATACTGGGGTTAGGTTTTGAAGTAATAATAATAATAATGTCTCTTCCTCTTCTGTGTCTGATAGGGCAGTGAATTGCACTGGCTCGCCTGTGGCTTATACGTTGCCTGTAGGACATCAGTCCCGACTGTGGGTAAGGGCACGGCTGAAGGCAACTATGTGTCTCTGACCAAGATCCTCCGCTGCTCAGGGCTCAGGTGATATTCTCCACTTTGTCACTCTCCTCCCTTTTGAATCCCTGTCAAGTCTTTTCAAGCTGAGTCTCCCCGTCACTCGTATTATACTTCAGCACAATATGCATGGGGATAACCTAGCAACCGTTTGTGTCTGCGACAGGTTTGCTTCATTTATGCAGATCTGTTTCATTGTTAGCCATTTTGTTACACGTTCCTTATACGGTGCTTCTGGCAAATGGCTTACTTAAAATATTGGATATACAGCTCTGGAAAAAATTAAGAGACCACTCTGTGTTTAAAAATCTGCATTTTTAAATCCTGGTTTAATCCTGCTTCTGCTGGCTGATGGCTGCACTGCGAGGCAGGATGCTTCCTGGCTCAAAATTTCTAAGGCAGCAGTACACAAGAACAAGGTGAAGCCGGAGACACTGGCAATAACTAAAAACCAACCAGGTACTGGGGAGATGTGACTTTCTAATGCCAGAGATGATCGTCAACTTATCCAGCAGTGCCTCATAAATCAGAGGATGACCGCAAGTGACCTTCAACAGGAATGGGAAACATTAAAAGGTGTGAAGTTCACTGCTAAGACAATTCATAACAGGCTCCTAGAAGCAGGAATGAAGACCCATAAATCAAGGAAGAAGCCCTTCATTAATGAGAAGCAGGGAAGAACCAGGCTGTAGTTTGCAAAAAATGTATACTTTCAGGCGCATAACCATAAATTGAGAAATTGAAAAAAAACTGAAACTTTTGCTGTACTCTCTTAATTTTTCAGAGCTGTATGTGTAGAATTCAGTCAACTTCATGTGCAATATTTACATGACAACATTTATGTGGAAATACCAGAATAGCGTTGATTTTTTAGATTCTGTGAGAACACCGTATACAGGCAGTCCCTGGGATAGGAACATCAGAATTATGGAAACCCGTGCTTATGAAGGGACTGCCATAAGGTCTGTTGTATTAAAACTTTGGGATAAATACAGTTTTGTATTATAAGAACACACGCACTACTTTATGACACTCATGAAAACATTGTGTGGCTTCAGCAGTTCGTCGGCTCGAGGTACAGTACAGTTGGCTCTAGGTTCCAATAATTATTATTATAATTATTATTATGTACTCTATTATTACGTTTCCAACTTATCTACAAATTTGACTTAAAGACTGATCTAGGGAATGGATCTCTTTTCTAACTTAGGGACTACCAGGACTTTGGTATAATGTCTGGACAGTGTGACTGTATTAAAAATTATATAGTCATTTCATTGGGGGGGGGGGATGTTGGGAAGCTGGCGGTAAAATTTGCTGACCAAGGCTGGAGTCAAGATTTGTTCACCAAGGTGGGGCAAAGTTGTGGTGGTACAGCTTCTTACCAGCTCATTTTACTGCCATTGAATAGTGGAATGGCAGAATCCCACGACACTGAGCGCCATTCCTGGGTGTGAGGGAGCTGCTGTCAATTTTCGGGAGATTTGGGATGTTTGCAAATGCTATGGAATGTCCTGTATTAAGTCAAGTATTAAAAGGGATAAAATACGCACAAGAAACATTCCATTAGGCATAGAGATCTGCTGACCCTCCTGTCACACTTACTGTCTTAACCCGAACCGTCCAGTCAGATTTCCTGTCCCAATCATAACCATCCTGTCAGATTACCTGTCCTAACCCTAACCATCCTGTCAGATTACCTGTCCTAAACCTAACCATCCCGTCAGATTACCTGTCCTAACCCTAACCATCCTGTCAGATTTCCTGTCCCAACCATAACTGTCCTGTCAGATTACCTGTCCTAAACCTAACTGTCCTGTCAGATTACCTGTCCTAAACCTAACCATCCTGTCAGATTTCCTGTCCCAACCATAACTGTCCTGTCAGATTACCTGTCCTAAACCTAACTGTCCTGTCAGATTACCTGTCCTAAACCTAACCATCCTGTCAGATTTCCTGTCCCAACCATAACTGTCCTGTCAGATTACCTGTCCTAAACCTAACTGTCCTGTCAGATTACCTGTCCTAAACCTAACCATCCTGTC